CCCTCCTTGGTAGAAGGATCTCGGTTGGGTGGGGAATTCAAGATATTGACTTTGTGATTTAACCCTACACCTTTACCACCTTTTACCCACCATACCTCCTTACTAAGCATGCAAATACCCCCAAGTATCAATGAAACCATCCCATCCCTCTCCATTTAAACTTACGGCCGATGATCACCCCACCACCACCAAAAACTCTTTCTTTCAATTTCACTCACCTTAACCTCTCAAGAACAAGCCAAAACTCTCCAAGATCATCACTTTCAAGCTGGTCCTAAGGTTTTTTTGGTAAGTACTTTCGTGATCCTCTAGTGTTTTTAACACATTTTCATGTCAATTTCATCATCTTTACACACATTATCATGTGTTAAGCCTTAGGATAATAACATTCCAAAGAAGTTCATCAACTCCATTCAAGACCCTAGGCTCGAAATCTTCATCTCATCACTTCAAACTATCCACAAAATCCACTCAAGGTGAGTTCATACCCCCACTTTTTCGAGATTTTCATGTTTTAGGGGGGGGGGATACAAGTTAAAAATTTGTTATTTATACATATATTTGCATGATTTGCTTAAATGTTGAAATATAAGTCCTTATATGCACAAGATATCCTTATTACTAGCCATTTTGCGAATATTTATAATACTTGTTTTAAGAATGCAAAAAGAACAAACATATTCTAGGTTATAAAAATCATATCAAGGTTATGGCTTGTAAAACTACATGGTTTTTGGAATCTTTCTATAAAAAGGTAGTTTCCTAAGAAAAAGGGGTATTTTGTAGTCTTTATACTGTTTTGGTGGGTCACAACCCAAAAACATTATGTTTGACGATATATGTTGGGCACAAGATGACAACTGTATATTTATATAAAAGATTATATAAAAAGTTTCAACAAATAAACATAATAAACTATAATGGGAATAGTTAGGAATCATAAAACTATATTATCAGTTTGTAGTAGTTAAATGATTATTTAAAGACATAATTATTTTATTTACAAGTAAAAAGAGTTTTCAGTACACGTAAACCGGCTGATATAACTTTGTGAGACAGTTAGCTTCACCGTACCCACTAGAGTACATGTTAAAGTCCTAATTTATAACCAGAGTCTCTTGTAGGGAGAACATGACACTTGTGTATAGATCTATACGAGATTGACAACCCCGCACCTAAACTGTTAGCTACAGTTAGACCGGTAGGTCTGGGGTGATAGATGTCATAACAGTTCCGACGCCGAAGCACGTCGTTCATGCCACTAGTCGTATTAGTATGGTTATAATAACTCACATAGAGTATCAACAGAACATTTGATTTACATACTTTTCAAGTATTCTTATATAACGATAAAACTTCATTATATCGTTTACGATACAATATTAATTACATTTCTAGCCTTGGGACTTAAGGTTTACATAACATTTTTAGGAAAATATTGGATTTTCTGGAAGCATGCACTATCATTTTCACGAAACATCACAAAAACTTTTTCATACAAAATGATTATTAACTCACCAACTTAATTGTTGACACTTTTCAAAATCACTTGTATTCTCAGGAAATCAGTAATAGGTAATCACGAGAAATTTGGAGGATGGAACGTCGTCACATCATTTCCTTCATTTCTGTCACATGCATCTGATGTCTTGTAAACAGTATTTGAACACAATGTAAACTTATTAAACATTCAATGTAATGGTTGTGATTCTATGTTTAATTTATATTCAATTGTTATGATACTACACATAAAGTCATCCGCCCCTGGACGTTTCCGCCGTTCCAGTACGGGGGTGTGACAGATTCACCATCTTCCAAATCATTGATGTTAAGTTTTCCTTCTAATAATGATTGAGGGACTTTCAAAGTCTTATTGACAGCCGTTGGAAGCTCAATATCAATAATTTCCATGTAATCATAGTAGTTGTCAATGTATACTTTGATATGAGCAAAACCAATGATGAAATCATCCTTGTTGGTCTCAGCTATCTTCGATACATCCACATTACTTAAAAGTCTTTGTGACCGTGATCAAGTCATTTAAGTTCATTAAAGGAAAATATGATATTGTGAACTCACAAGCAACATTATTTGCCCTTAAGACAACGTAACGAAAGTTTTGTAACACACCTTCGAACAAGTTTTCACAAATGATAGTCATCACCTTTACTATCTTCACAGTAGACAATATCTCTTCTTTATTTTTCCCCAAGACTGCATGGAATCGAATCTTCAGTCTTTTGAATTCTTCTTTATCATTGAAATTCTCGAAAATCTTGAATTGAGAAGAAGTGAACAACATGTGGTTGATCGAAAAATCAAGCTGATTGAAATCAGAATTTTCAATGTCGTAGTTCTTCTTAGGCACCTTTTTAAAAGTAATAATTCAATCTAATTGAAACAATATCTTCAATTGTTTCATAGCACCATTGCTTGTTGGGGTCACCCTTGTTCCAGCCATGTGGTTTATTTTCTCTTCGCCTCAAAATGCTGTTGATTTGCCTTTGTTTCTTAATTTCAAGAGCTTGTTGCTTTTTCTTCTATTCTTCTGACGGAACAACAGAAATGGCTTTTCCTTTATCACTTGAATCATCATTCGAAGTTGACTTGTTAAGAATCAAACTTGAACTCGAACCTTCAACTTCCTTATAGTTAAAGCTCTTGTTGTTATTGTTTTGGAAGTTGTAGTCAAAGACATGGGAAGTGAAGTCAGAATTTGAGTCGAAATTTCTTTCCCAATTACAAGTCCTTTCTCTTTATCAGAATCCTTTGTAGAACCAACTCTCCCAATTCCTTTCTCTCCCCTTGTGACAATTGCATTCCACACGGAGCATTACTTGGTAAGCAAAGAACCAACTCGAGGATTGGAGCAAGCTCGAATTTGATATTGGACTCAATATTCGAAATCAATTGAGAAAGAGACTATTGTGATACTGTTGATTGATTCGAAAGATCATCCTTAGAAATAGACTCCTTGATACTTAACAGAAATTCTTCCATCTTCTCAAGCATCTGAGTATCCTTTTCCGACTTGACTTCAAGCTTATTCGTATATTCAGAATTACACTCGACCAATTTAGTAATAACAGTCGCAATGACATCAACTTTGCCATGCAACAAGGTGTAGTTTTGTTCCATTTTGTGAACTTCTTTCGACAACTCGGATTTGAGTTAAACAATTTTGAGATCAATAGACTCCTTCATTGTAGTCACTTGTTCAACAAAGAGTTCATGATATTCCTTTCCAACGTCATGAAGCTTCTGAATCTCATTGTCATAGCTCTTGGAATGAAACACTAACCTTTCTGCTTGTTTCTACTCAATGCCCTCAATCAAGTTTCGTAATCGAGTTTCTTGAGCTTTCATCAAATATTCCATTTCGACGCCAGTCACAAAGTTCTTTCCTCCTATATCTGCTTGTATTTGAAGAGGAGAATTGATTTTCGAGTTTAGGATCTTGAACTGTTTACCTGACATGATTAAATCGTCAGGAATATTCTCCTCCTCGGGATCAAATTGAAGATCGGCAAATGACACCATGATCTCATTATCATCACTTTCTTCTTCATGAATCATTTTCTCAGCCTCAATTGATTGATATGAGAAAAGAGTTGTAATAGGTTCATGCATGATAGCATAATATGTTGGTGAGATGGTCGAAGCTGGAACTGAGATTGGAACAGGTGATGAAATAGGTGGTAAAGCTGTTGTGTCAACAATGGAAGTTTTGATTGTAGATGAGTTGATGACGGTAGTGTTGATGGTTGATGTTTCAATGGTAGAAATGACAGATGATTCATTATTATGTATCCCTTCATCCATATTGACATGTGTGTCCTTATCATATAAGTTCACAGGGATGTCTGGAGTTCGAACCTCCTCCGTATTGGACTTGGTATTTGAAAACCCGGATGGTATGGATAAGGTCTTCTCATGGATGAATGTTGTTGGTTGATCACTTGAATTGATGTTTGTATCCATATTAGATACGTTTACAGTGACATCAGAATTTCCTATCGCCTTGAAATTCAATTTGATAGGAGAATCCCTTCGAGGTGTTCCAGTAACAAAATATTCCATGCAAATATCTGATCTTTCACAATCATTGTCTTGATCAGGTTCGACCGACACGTGGTCAAGTGGAACTGGATTCTTATGTTTCTTCTTTTGTAACTTCTGAGCCATATCAAGTGCTTGACGCTTCTTTGATGTTGGTGAAGGAGGAATAGATACTTCATGAAACAAAACACCTTTCTTATTAAATTGAGGCTTTCGAATCATCTTTATACCCTTCTGAGAAGAAATAGTATTTGAAGAATCAACATTCGTTGGCGCAACACTTTTGATTTCAGGTTTTTGCAAAGGTTGCTTAATTGGTGAATGAGTAGGCTTCTTCACTGGTTTCTTTATTCTTTTGAGAATTCCCAATTTTGATGGGATGATTTCGTTCATAACTTCCTCCTCCACAGTAGGTAGTTTTTCAGCTTGCTTCTTCTTCTTTGGAGCTTTGGAAGCTTTAGAAGATCCTTCTGCCCCCTTTTGTGGAAGAGCCCCAGTCGATGTAGAAGAGTCAATCGAAGCCAAATATTGCACAAGAATTTTATTTTTAGGATCAACAAGCTTGAGCATTGCATTAGGAATGTGAGCGACAATTGGAAACACAACTGGACCGTCAACAAAAATCCTTGGGGCTGCCATTATCGGAAACTCAACAGTTTCGACATTAGAAGAGACCAAAATATCCTCTTGACGATAAACATCTTGTAAAATCAAGCTCCAAAAACAAGCACTCGAAACACCATTAGTGAGATTAGTGTGTGAAATTGAAGTTCCAAACTCCTCCCAGATGTGTAGCATAATCCACATTTAGATCGTAATACAGTCCTGCGATGATGGAATATACTTCAATATTGGCTTTTTCAAGCCCAGAGCTTCGTCCTGTTAAGCAATGTAACACAATACTAAATAAAAAACTCCACATACAAGGAAGACTTGACTTCTTAAAGTGACTTATTCCAGTAAGAATTGGTTGATTCCCTCATTTCATTAAACATATGAAGCACCTGATCAGTTGAAACTTCATAGAAAGTACCTGACACTGGCAACTTCATGATTTGGGCAAATTGCTTCCGAGTAAGCTTCTTAATCTTTAAATTCATCAACTGAAACGTGACCACCTTAGTCGTTTTGTTGAAGACAACAGTGGAACCTGTAAGAGAAAGCCATTCCATCGAAACAACAAACAAGGATGAAAATGTAGTTGATAATACAGAGTTGTTCGGGGTTTGAACAAGCATCTCTAATGGCTCCGGATATTGATCAATCAATGGAACCAGATGAAGATTAGTGGTTTGGATCTTCATCATCAGTTGCCAAACTTCGTCTTTATTTGTTGTTGTTGGATCAACAATGTGTTGAGGAGCAGCCACTGCAGATAATGCATAAGAAGTTGGAAACGATGAACAGTTAGGGTTTTTGGAAATTTGATATGAGAGCATAAAGTTTGATAATGAAATTATCAATTTCCTTTCATAAGCAAATGTATTTTGAATTTGAACCGGTATCCAATAATACACAGCCACACATCTAGGGTGAGTATTTATGACCCCATTTTATGTTTTAAGATTTTTTGGGGAAGATACATATTTGTCTTGTTTTTATGATGTTTGTTGATATTATGTGTTCATATCATGCTGTGTGTATATATCTAGTTTAATGCGATTTTTGTTGTGACCATTTTAACTATATATACATAAGTAATATGTTAAAATGCAAGTAAACATGTAGAAATCATGTGTATAAGATTCATGACATTTTTATGTACATTATATGTCATAAAAATGTTATTTAATAAGTTGTTAGACAAATAACAAGGTTAATAATGTATATATGTTCCTTTATATCATTTCTATGCAAAATGGTTATGATTGATATATATGTAACGCCCGTGTTTCGGGGCTAAGCATTGATATGATGATGTAATAGTTAGGGTCAACAAATGTAACTCATTTTGAAGTAATAAAGAGGAATTACTTGAATATTATGTGGATTATGTGATTCTATGTGCATTATACTTATTTATAAGATATAATAAATTAAGAATGAAAATAAGCGCCAAAAATAAAAATATAGATAAACCCAATATCTATGAAGAAAGTTGTAGTGGTCGTGACAAGGATTTCGGAGATATAAAGAATGCCGAAATCCGAGTTATAACAAAGAAGTCATGATCTGTCGAAGTTTCGCGACAAAACCGGCACGACACTGTGTGACGTAAAAAGTGAGTTTACGATAAAGTGCTTTTTAGCCTTAGCGATCTAAACAAAAGTCGTAGTATACGTTAAACCGAGAGCGTGCATAAAAAGAACGTCCAAATCCGACTTCGTATGACGAAGTTATGAATTTTCTAAGATTTGGCATAACAGTGTGCAGCCCGAAGTTTGAATTTTAGATTGAGCGATTTTTAGCCGACACAACCTAAAAGAGAATCAAAGATCTCGTCAATAGGAGCTCAACGATAAAAATACAGACCAAAACGGATGTCGGATGACAAATGTATGAATTTTTAACAGACTTTTCCTGTCGCGGCCTGTTAAAAATATAAATTTTAAAATAATGCCAAAATTAGCCGACGGAGTCTAAAAGAAAGTTGTAGAGTACGTGTCTGCCTACGCGTGTATATAAAGAACGTCGAAAATGGAGCACGTATGCAAAAGTTACGGATTTTAGAAGTCGGGTGTGTAAATTGTGAATGCTGTCCGAAGGAACGCCTCGCGTAGAAGGAAAGAACGCCACACGTTCGGATACTCGGTGTCAGAGAAGCCACGTCGCCCTAGCTAGCTTCAGACACCTACCCCACTCCTACACGCTGCATTCGCATAAGCGCTCTGCATACGAGGAACGCGCTGCGCTCCTCCGAGGAACGCGCTGCGCTCCTCCGAGGAACGCCCCGCGCACCAAGGCTTCAGCCAGTTATAAAAGGAGGTGCGAGGCAGCCCTAAATCTCACACCAAAAACCCATTCTTTTTCTCTCTACTCTGTCTCTAAACACTCCCCAACCCCTAGAATCTTTCTAGTGTTAGGAGAAGGCCCCGGAGCGCCTGAAGGCTCTGAGAAAAAGAGCTTTTCGGCTCGGAAAGCTCCACCCTCGCTGAGCCCGGTTTCGTCAAAGGAAATCATATTTTTAAGAAGTGTAGTGCTGTCCATGTTGGAATCACCACCTTATCAGGTGAGTGCATAGTTACTTTCAACTTACATATAGATATGAAGTATTTTATATAAATTACGTGCTATGTGTGCATATTATCTGTTTACTTAAGATCTATGCTGGATGAACGATTTAAACATTTTTTTTATAATTTAAACTGTATATGTATTTTATATCTACAAATATGTTGGGTAAAACATGGGTAGATGAAATAGTTGATGTGTGATGATATAAAATGATGAGAGGCCTCGATGTTTACGAAGATCCAGTCATCTAGCGGAATATAGATGACAACCAAAGACTATTCTAGGCAGTTCAGTGGAACGCTACCAGGCTCACAACGTGTAGGTGTTTATTTAAACTACGCGTTCACCATGTGTACTCCATCCCCCTCATGGTTACCTTATTTGACATGTATTGCTGAGTAAATACCCAAAGCAATGTTGTCCACCCCGATGAAAAATCCTTAGGCTAGGTCCCTTATAATAGATGCTTTAAGGACGTAAAGTGAGGATAACAGGAACGGGTAATCAGGTTGAATGATTTAATGAAAATAATAAACTTATTTATTGTGGGTTGAAAACCCTATGTACTCACCAGGCTTCCAAGCCTGACCCACTCAGTTTCTTGTATTACAGGTAGTGACACAAGAGCATAGATGCGATGATCTGATGAGAGGTTATAAATTATAGGCCAATAGAAATAAATAGAATATTGTAAGGCCTATGTTGTTTTGTTTATGCTTTTGATCTGTATTGACAATGACATCCCGATGTTTGTAATTTAATGAAAATACATTTCTTTGGAAATGCTTTGATAAATTCTTTATCATATTTTTGGGAACAAATTCTGCAACAAATTTCTTTAAAAGTATACTCTGACTTTCAAATAGCATAAACAAATTAGTCTTTTCTGGCCGTGAAATTTGGGATGTCACAGTCGGTATCAGAGCATTAGTTTAAACGAACTAGGAATTTGCAGGACTTCTAGACTTAAAGTTAGAATGCTAAGCGATGATTGTGAGATGAGTGTATACTATAATTTAGACACGAGCACTAGTTTATTTTAGGTAAGATGCCTAAAATGCTTTTATGTGCTAAATGCTTTATGTTATAGCTATAAAATGCTGTAACGCTCGCAGATCCGGGCTAGTCAATTTAGAGACAATGAGCATCAAAAATGAGTTTTTGATGGAAGATTATTTAGAAGGAATAGTCTTAATAAAAGTTGTAGCATATGTTACAAGGATTCCGTAAATATAAAGAACGCCGGAATCCGAGTTATAACGAAGAAGTTATGGCCCGTCGAAGTTTTATGGCAAAACCGGCACGACACGGCGCGACGTAAATAGTGAAATTTACGATAGAAGACTTTTTGGCCTTAGTGATCTAAACAAAAGTCATAGTATTCGTTAAACCGAGAGCGTGCATAAAAAGAACGCCCAAATCTGACTTCGTATGAGGAAGTTATAATTTTTCTAAGATTTGGCATAGCAGTGCACAACCCGGAATTCGAATTTTAGATCGAGCGGTTTTTGGCGAACGCGAACTAAATGAGAATTGAAAATCTCATTAATAGGAATTCAACGACAAAAAAGACAGACGAAAACGAAGTCAGTATGTAAAAGTTATGAATTTTACGCGGACATTTAACAGTGTAATCACCTCCTACTGTTAAATTTAAGATCGGTCGAGAATTAGCCGATGGAGTAAAAAGGAAAGTTGTAGATTTTATTTTTACCTACGCGTGGATATAAATAACGTCAAAAATGGAGTTCGTATACGAAAGTTATGGACGAAGCTTAGTCTCTACTTTTCGAGCGCGGCGAATTCGATACAGTTTTGTAAATCTGAGATAGAATGAGAATTAGCCAACGGGGTCTAAATGAAAGTTGTAGTACTCGTAAATACCAACGCGTGGATCTAAATAACTTTGGAAACAGAGCTCGTATGTGAAAGAGATGGACGAAGCTTAGTCGCTACTCTTTGTCCGCGATAAATACGATACAATTTTTGTAAATCTGAGATAGAAGGAAGCCGACGAGGTCTAAATGAAAGTTGTAGTGCTCGTAAATACCAACTCGTGGATATAAAGAACATAGAAAACAGAGCTCGTACGCGGAAGATACAGACGAAACTTAGGGGCTACTTTACTATAAAACTCCTATAAATAAGAGATGAACTCTTCATAATTTCTTCACACCATAAGCCTTTCTTTCTCTCTCTACCTTCTCTCTAGCCTCCCTAAACCCCTCCCAAGTCTAGGGAACCTCCCTAGCATGAGAAGGAAGCCCCGGAGCGCCCGACGGCTTCGAGAAGAAAAGCTTTCGGCTCGGAAACGCTGCTCCAGCGAAGCCCGATTTTTTAATAAAAACCCGCTGTAAGTGAGCTACGCCTACACTATTTTTAATATAGCTTTTAATTAATTATAGTAATTTTATTAGGACATTAGAATAATTATTTGGGATATTATTATGGGTTATATAAGTGTCGTCGTAATATCTTTTTAACCACTCGCGGTACGGGGAATCTGGTTTGGAGGGCCGCTTGGGTTGCTGGATTCAGAAGTGCTATATGCCGAAATGATCCTGCCCCCGGTGTTTCATGTCTGGCCCCTGTCTGTACGTAGTGGTTGAGAAATATTGTTTCGTGCTTATATAATAGTAATAATAGCAAGACTATTAATTAGTCTCGGTGAATATTAGACTAAACCCTAGTGGTAATGATACTAGGTTTCGTCGAGGGAAATTGTTTTATGACAACGAAGTGCTGTCCGAGTACCTAGTCACCACCTTATCAGGTGGGTCAATAGTTACTTTCATCTTACACATAGATATGAAGTATTTTATATAAATTACGTGCTATGTGTGCATATTATCTGTATACTTGCTATCTATGATGGATGAACGATTTTATACATGTTTTAGATGATTTAAACTGTATATGTATTTTATATCTACAAAATATGTTGGGTAAAACATGGGTAGATGAATTATGAGTTGGATGATGAGATGAGAGGTGATATAGACCACTAGATAAGGGTGAGAGGTGAACAATGAGGGAAGCCTTTTACCCAAGCGTTGGACCCGTTATCTAGCAGAGTATGGATGACAACCACAGACTATTGTAGACAGTCCAGTGGAACACTAGCAGACTCGCAACCTGTAGGTGTTGTGAACGATGTGTTCACCCGGTGTACTCTAAACCCTGGAGATTATGCAGACTTGGTGCCTAAACCTTGGCGATCATGCAGACTTGGTGCCAAAACCCTGGCGACTATGCAGACTTAGTG